TCTGCATCTCTGGCTCTGGGCATTTTGAACATTTACACAGGATACTGGGGTGTAAGATAAATTAATGTGCCTTTTCTGGTTGAATCCACACACTACAAAGCCAGCTGTGTGCTTTGGTTTGCCTCTCCAACATAAAATTTCAAGCATATGAAGGTAACCTGCTTGGTGAAGGAGTGCAGGTGGACAGGTCTGATCTACAGACAGGCAGTAGAAATTACACCAAGCACAAGGTGCAACTAAAATGTGTCTCTTGAATAATCAAGTGTATTTGATCTTCCCAGTTTAAGTCTTAACAGATGGCTGACTTTATTCTCACTCTTAAATCCAAAAGGGAAGGGGCTTTTGAAGGGTTTTCTCTTTCTGGTAAAAGTTATGCTACTGATAGTACTACTCCATTCAGACAAGAATAGAAGAGTATGTGCAGAATATTCAAGTATCTTTGTGAATTTATCAATAAGAGTCTGTCAGTGTAAAGCATCTATAAAAGTTTCTATCTAAAAGAGTGTTTTGAGTGCTGGTAGATTGTCTGGTAGGTGAACAGGTAATGGGCATTTTGCTTTCTTGTAAAGTCCTTCTCTGCACATCAGGCTGAACCAGGATCTCTTCATTATTCTCAGGATATTGAATTGAGTCTCTCTTTTCTTCTGTGTAGTGCAGCACATGAGGGATTCAGGTTACTGTGGGAAATAGAGTGTGCTACCAAAATATGGAATTGGCCCGATGTGGGAAATAGTGCTATTCACATGTAATGAAACAGAACACTGCAGTGTCCCAGCATACCAACCAAGAACACAAAGCAGAGGCAGTGCTGCCAGACACGTAGCTGAGTGACTTCACTGTGTAAGCAAGAGATGTGTGCTATTCTCAGCACCAGAGCAGACAGACAGTTTATGAGACCAGTTACCAAATTATGCACTAACACCAGATTTTGGTCATAGTAATGGTGATGAAGCATAGATGTTGAATTTGGTTTCTAGCCCTTGGCAGGCACACTTGCTCTTTAACTCTTAGCTATGTTAGCTGTGTGTTTCACTCTCCCCAAGCTTCCCTAAAAATTCCTGCAGCCAGAAGACATCAAGTTTGTTTACATGGCTTCATCAATCCAGCTCCTTTTCACTGAGATTATTTAGAAATCAATGATCAGAGCAGGTCAACTGGCAAATTGGAGAAGGCAATACAGTTCTAGCAGCTAGACAGGACCAGGCAGGTGGGGCTGTGGCAGAAGTTCCAACCTCTTGTGTTGATATGCTGGAGCCTGGCAGAGAATGCGCCTGTACTGTTATGTGTTCCAAGGTGTAAAGAGAAATGAAGTACCCAAGGGCTGAAATAAAGAACTGCCAGG